CTTTCCTCTCCTCCCTCTCTTTCTTTCTTCTCTTTTCTTTCCTTTCTTTTCCTTTCTTTCCTTTCTTTTCTTTTCCTTTTCTTTTTTCCTTTTCTTTCCCTTTCCCTCTCTCTTTCCCCTCCCCCTTTTCTTTTTTTTCCCCGACGGCAGCGCAATTTTACCGACAATATCCTGACAGGTGGGAGGGGGTGTCGCACGCCCCACACCCCTTTGGAGACGCCCCTGTATATATAAATATATATAATCGAACCTCGTTATGACAATATCCTTACTCACAAACAAAACAAACAAAAAACTTCCTGATGTTCAGTGAATGAAAATTTTATCGATATACCACTACGTCCTTGATATCCTATATTAAGGATTCTGATGAAATGTCTCACACTCTCACCGATATTATGCAATGCCTAGTGTCACATGAGTTTACATTTGAAAGTAAAACCTATTTGATGAATATAACCTGAATATGTATAGGCATATATCCCTCGATTGAGCAGTAAGGACCTAATCTGAAAATGAAAAAGAAAGAAAGAAAGAAACAAACAGATCCTTTCCTAAATAAGCCAGTTCACAGTTGCAGTATGAGAAGACAAAGGTCATTGCAGAACAAAATGACAACTCGTGAAGAAAATCGCCCAATGCACTGTTGCTAATTATAAACTTATTAGTAAAAGGGTCTATTTTAAAATACACCCATTTACTAATTCGTTTATAAGACATGCGTATATATTATGATTAATATATCCATGGTTGCCTGGCTATGAAAGTGTTGTCTATTAATGAGATGACGATATGTAACGGATGATTAATTGCCTATTAGGTGAGCTGCGAGAGGTGACATTGTGGGACTTGTCATTGTGTGTGCGAGTGCGTGCGCGGGTTGGTAGGGTTTAGAGTGCAAACTTCCGTCCTAATTCATACTTCTCATCTCATGCCTTGTCTGGAACGCGATTTGGACAGATACAAAGGCCTCCTCCGTGGAGAGAGGGTGTCCAATTAACTGTTGCTAAAATAGACCCGTTTACTAAATGTATTTCAATCTCTCCTGAACCTTAGTTACCATTTCATTTTAATACCTGCTATGCATAAAATGGCATATATAGGCGGAATCCACTTTGCATACATTAGTTGATGCTACGTCAGACAATCATCTTGCAAGCTTATGTTGTAAAGATAAACCTTTGTTCGAAATGTAATCAAATATTTAGTAGACAGGGATATTGTCTAGAACTACCTAATAGTACACATAAAAGAATTTAAATATAAATAAATAAATAACATGCTATGGCGAATATGAGTGATACCCTGACATAAAACCAGAGTTATCATAAGTTCACATATCACGCGGTAAATTGAGGTGGTTTATTTTGATAACGTGTCAATGAACTTTTAAGGAAACCTCGGCCCCAAAATAACCTTAGTACGTGGTTTATTGTATTTTTGTCTATTAATCTACAAGAATTCCCATTTGAGTAATATAATCAAATTCAGTGCACAAATCTTTGTCCAGTGCCTCGTTAGTCGTTACAAATAATAAGTTTTGTTTCCACCTGTTACGAATAATTGTATTTAAATGGTCAGAACGCGAATTGCATACAATACGTGTTGTTAAATAAGACAAGCCATAATGTTTGCAATTCCGATTCTGACTTTTGAAATACAATAGGCCATATTCGTAATGTAACCAAATATTATACATAAATCTTTGTGAAGTGCCTCAATATAAATTATTTCATTCACCTGATAAGAATAATAGTATTTCAATAGTCAGAATGCAAACTGCATATATTAAGTGTTGCTAGGTAGGTCAAGACATAATATCTGTCATACCTGGCAGCAACTAATGCAAGGGCGGATCCAAGAATTTCTTCCCGGGGCACATGGGGGGGGGGGGGGGGGACGAGGTAAGGAGGTAAGGAGACACTTTTTTTTTGGGGGGGGGGGGGTCACGACATTTGTAAATTTGACATTTTGATCCGTTGGGGGGTAAGGTAATGTCTTTAGGTCTGCAATTTGTATTTTTTTTTTTTTTTTTTTTTTTTTTTTTTTAAATACAAATTTTTATAGAATTTTGCGGGCAGGGGGGGGGGGCACGTTCTTGTTTTTCAGTGCATTTTTGGCGAATTTATGGCTGATTTTAACCTTTTTTTTTGGCCGGGGGGGGGGGGGCACGTGCCCCTGTGCCCCCCCCCCCCCCCCCCCCCCCCCCCCCCCCCCCCACCCCCCCCCCCCCCCCCCCCCCCCTCTGGATCCGTCCCTGTAATGTATGCAGTTTGGATTCTGTTTATTGAAATATTGTTATTCTTATCAGGTGAATGACATGAATTGTATTGATTGATTGATTGATTTTATTCGTCAAGTATAGTACATTGAATGCATACATAAAGCAAATGGAACGAGAAGATACATTGACAGGATAACCCATGAAAGCCGGAAAAGGCTTATTTCCAACGGGGTCCTATATGAGGCACTTTACAAAGACTTATGCATCAAAGAGTATATACATATGTCGTGCCATATGAAATATGATAGCTGATATTAAGTGATAAAAAGATTTTTTGTTGTTTTTGGTTTGGGGGAAAGTAACTGTTCATGTCATGCCAACACTTGCAATAAATTGAAATAAACCAGTGAAATTTCATTCATCTTGTCTTTGCTATAAAGACGTGTGTGTTAGTGTTACTGGTATTAAAGCCTTTGCTATATTCCATTGTCCCTGGGAATTAGTGGAAACACTTTAGTTTCTGTACTTATCATATGGCTTAATCCCCCATGAATGAACATACAAGTATGTAACTCTTCCCATTCCCAGCATTCTATTAACCTGTTTAAATGTGAAATGTGGAACAGAGAAAGGGACATAAATTTCTTATATATTGCAGTATGATGCACTAATAATTACGGTAAAAAGTAAAATGGTAAAAAGTAAAATGGGACACAATGGGAGGGACAAAATGACAATCAAAGACATAGCCATGACAAGATCTTGACATAAAATAACTTAGTTACAATAATATTACCCTTCTAAACTAATAATAATAATAATATTTGATTTTTATATAGTGCTTAATACAAATGTCTCTAAGCGCTTTACAAATATACTTTTACCCCGGTCATTGGATTCAGTGCTTGCCCGCACAAACTGAGAATATTACAAGCCTAGATAGAGTCAGGACTTTAAATTAAACTTATTCATTGTATGACTGATATAATATAGTGGAAATAGATCATTCACAACCACATAAGCACTTCCTGATCAGTTAAACAAGAATTAATTTCAAGACATTTGTTTCATGATAAAAATTTGATTTAATTCATAAATCACTTAACAAATATATTCTCCTTTTAACAAAGCTGATATCAGTTTACAATGTTTATGTTATATATCACAGGATATTAACAACATATCAAGTCGAATCAACCGGGCCAACAAACATTTTTGTAAACTTATCATGATATATCATTTGTTGATAACAAACTCTGAAAATGATAGCAAAAACATTTATTGGAAGAAGCTGAACAAGATTGTTGAAGGCCATCGTTATAAAGTCACTCATATTTCATATAATTCAAGTACCATTATAAATTGAGATTTGCATTAAAAATAATGGTTACAATCGGCCTACCACATGCTCTAACAGATTTATTTATTAATATAATCTACCCAATTAACCGAGACTTCAAATATTATGATTATCATCATCATCATCATTTTTATTACTAGTTTATAAATGAACTTAAAATCTGATCAGCTTTTGAATGATATGCCAAAGAATGTTTCCTACATTTAAGTTAAGATACAAACATAGTATTTCCAGTTCTACACTGACGTCTTCATGATGAAATGTGTGAAGTATAATAGAATAGTGAGGTATCAAGAATGAACAAACAATGTCTGGATCGATATACCATTCACATGTTTATTAACAAGAATTATTATAACAATACTACCAATGGTGATAAGAAACCGTAATTCTACAGCACATATCACCACAAATGCAGACTTCATACGTTTTATGAACACAGAAAGAAAGAGCAGCAATGGAAAATCAGAAAGAAGGCATAGATATTAATTCAAATGTTAATAGCCATCAGTGACCACTACTAGTGCATATTGCTGCACAAAATGTGTCCATTTGACATGGAACTAGTCCTACATATAGATATATCTACATGTACAACGATGCAAGGTGCATACGAGGGAATTTACAGAATACAAATATATAGTTATGGAAAGCTTGGGAACCCCAACATTTAAATCCAAAATGCTCTCAATTTCACCACATAATGCTGCTATGGCAGCAGCTTCGCACTTCCTCACTTAAAACCAATGTCTAATTACTTTTCGTAGGAAGCTGAAATGCCAGTCAATATTAGAGTAAATTAGACGTTGTCCAACATCGTCATCATACACTGTACATTAGTATGAATGATATCATGTACTATGGTGGTTCTCACTTATTCACTTATTCATAATTACAGATCAAGGACGCAATCTTTATTTACTGGGTGTAAGCCAAAAATGTGAAATTTCTCCCAGGAAGCATTAGTCAATAAGTCGTTATCAATTTTATCATATCAAGAGATTTTTCATTAAGGAATAAAATAAATGGATAAATGTGATACACCTTAATGTCTTACAGCTATGAACACGTTGCATGGAATCGCCCAAGAGCAGAATATGTAACAGTAACATACACGATCATCAATCTACAACTGAAATACATTGACACTGATTGCACAGGGGGAAACGGCATGAAATAAAGAACAATTTAAACGAGAGAAACATTGTGAACATTGTTTTACAACAATCATAGCTTTAAAAACTTCTATGATAAGAGATCAATGTTGCCATCTGCCGACTTACAATAACTAAGGTTTAAGGTTTATCTGCCTCCATCAGGAAACCTCTAACTATTTGAATGCGCAGCTCAGAAAGTTGGTAGGTCAAATACTATTTAAAAAGTAGTTATTTACCAATATCATTCAGCGCCATTATTTCCAGAGTAAATGAAAAAAAAAAAAAATTGCGCAACTTTGGATTGAATAGATAGCATCTGAAAGAGGGTCAAGGAAACTCCACAAAATCAGGCAGCTCTTTTAACATAAGTACAGAGTTTCTTAATTCTGCATCTATAGAGACGTTAAGATTTAAAATCCTGGATTAATAATTATCCTTTCAGTATATAATTCAATGTCACAATAACTTATCAAGATTCTGACTTGCCTTATATAGGCTACATTAGCACTGATATAGAAACCCATAAAAGTAGTGATGGAAAAATTCCAATAGAGACGGACCATCATGAACTATGTCTCTCCTTCCACATCCGGAGTTCATCTGGTTTCAAGGACTGATCCACTCCACTGATGGGGGTGTCATCGTAAGGTGATATTGAGAACCCGTTCTCGTATAGGAATACCTTCTTGCATGTTTCATAGGTCATGAACATGAAACCAGCATATGGAGCAATCTGCAATGAAGAATGAACGTAATCTCATTGGTCAAAAGGCACCATGTGATTGTGCATCATTCTTTCCGACCACGCCTACTGTGCAAAGCAGTTCCCATCATAAAGTGATCACCCACAGCTAAAAGTTATAATGTATGGCTGAGATGTCAAAAGTAAAAGTTACCTGTAACACTTTTTATGACTACAGTCTAATACATCTTCCTCAGATGCGAATCGGCAGACTGAAGTTAGCTGCCCATTTTTTGATTGCCAGTAGTTGTTCTGGCAATTACTGCATCGTATATGTCGGACAGCTGATATTTAACCCCATCTGAACTCAAGACATCAAACTGTTATCGGTAATTTTTACTTTTGGATGAGAGGAACTTTCAAACCATTATTAAAACCATGCTGATGAAAGTCTTCTATAATTTTTCTTTTATTATTTTCTTAATTGAAAAGTGCTTCAAAATGCATGTCAAAACTGCATTATGTTTAAATCCAAGCTGAAATCTTATCTTTTTTAAGAATACATGTACTTGGCACTATAACACTCATCCAAACTTTCTCGTCCAAACTTTCTCATTATTTCTATTTCCTTGTGCGCCTCGGAACAGCATTGTCTAGATAGACGGCGCTATACAAATGCCTATTATTATTATTATTATTATTATATAAATACCATGTGTTATTTAATATTACTTTTAATAAAATGTGGTATAATTTCACCTTGCATAGATTAGGTAGATTGCCTCTCCAAAGTCCCTTCCAGCCATACTGAGCCACAGTCTTCTTGAAGCCTGAGACCATGCCCTGGAACTTGATGTCCACTCCTCCACCATCCTTCATTACTCGACTCTGAGCCTAAAAAACATCCAAATGTATAATAATTTAAAAAAAGACAATCACTATTATTATCTATATCACAAAAGATATCACATGCAGGTTAGCCTACAGCAATTTACTTTGTGAATTTGCATATTTCTAGCTAGGATTCTTGACTCAATTCATCTGGTTATTTTTTGTTTTATTAACCAAAATGATAGGATGAGAGATGTTGAAGAATACATCATGTACTAGTCTTCCTGTACATGGCAGGATATTGGTCAGGGATCGACACTAAGATTAGAGGAGCCGAGACACACTGGTGTACAAACCTATATCCAGATCTCATAAATTTCAAAATCGTAACATAAGGGCTCATAAACAGTAACACCAAACTGTTAAATCCAAACCTCCTAAATAATGAGAGTTAGTGTGGGGCCCTGCTTTGTGCCAGTATTACTGAGGGTAAATTTTCTCTGACAAGGGTAACATAATTGTAAGTCAGTGTGTACTTGCAACCTTCCTGCTTGCAACCTGCTAAAAATTTGAGTTTGCCCACATCACACCCTAGAATGCAGCAAGGCCATAAATCTTTCATTTTAGATAAAAGTAGCAGTCATGTGGACTGGTAACATGTGCGTACATGCACATCACAGGATATTAAACACAATTATAAGCATGCATCAAACTCATAGAGATATGTAGCTGCTTGTTACATAGCTCAATTGAAATGTATCTTATAGAAGAAGAATTGCATTTCTTTTGTGAAGTTTTGTGCCTGTTATATACCTGGAGCTTTTTCCTGATTGTGTCAAATGGATACGAGATGGTTTGAGCTATGGCTCCAGCCAGGCAACCATTGATAAAGTTCTCCACTGGAGTTAACATGTAGCGAGGTTTGGTCCAAGCCATGTCCAAAAGCTCATATGCTGCAAAGGTTCCAGCAGAGAATGGGATGGAGCCTGAAAAAGAAAGAGGAAACAGTAATGCTATATCTTAGTTGCGTAATGAAAAAATCACAATAAAAATTTGGTATCTTGTACTGTACAACATTTACATCTCTTAATAAAAGTGTGAGATGAGTGATTTTTTTTTGGACATAAAATAGAGTTGTCATTAACAAATATTTATCAATTGTTTTCAGTTTTAAAAAAATGATATAGAAAATGACAAGTATAGTTCTCATCAGAAAATCAACACAAATGAAAAAAAAAAGCCCTTTGATTTAGAGAGAAGAAAAAGAAAATACCCCTTAAAAAGAAGGTTGAGTTCTGGGAAGAGGTGAAAAATAATTTGTGAGCGTTATCATTCTTATTATGCAAGTGTGGAAGAACATCAGATAATACATGTTCCCTGAAAAGCATGGCTCTTCAAATGCCTTCATATTCTAAATATGTCATGTAACATCGTAAAACTCCAGGGTAGGATTTTTACGCCACGTGCTCGTGTAGTCCATTATACATCTTTCTGTGTACAGTGTTCGTAACTTTACCAAGACTTGGCCAAATTTCTTATCATTTTGATGATTCCAGAACCTTGCAATACACACAAATTCTTATATGCTAGATGATCAACCTTTTCTGGTCGATTCCACACCGTTTCTTTCTTTTGCAATCGCATGACCAGAAATCAACTTCATCTTTAATGCTAAAATATCTCAGTCAGCCAGTGTGTGTGTGTGTGTGTCTCTCTCTCTCTCTCTCTCTCTCTCTCTCTCTTTCCTTGTTTCTTAGTTCACTTCAACATCTTTTGATTTTGGGGGCTTTCCTCCTCATCAATAAATTTGGTGGGGACTGTGGGGTTAGAAAGGTGAACATAAGACATATCTCTGAACAAAAATAAAATAGACAAATTTTTTTCGGTCTTTGAATTCATGAAAAGTGCAAAAGTAGATTGAGTTTGACTCAATTCAAAATAACAATTTGAAAGTGCTTCTAAAAAATCTAACTATTAAGCAGGCCAGACCTGCATATTGCAAAATGAAGAGGTGTCAAATTATTTTTTTTCATATTTAATAAAATGTGATAAAATTGCCACTTTAGAATTCAATAATTAACACGATCCTCTGGGCCCGGCCCGAAATTAAAAATTGATGCATTTAAAAGAAAGAAAAACAAAACAAAACAGAAAATTGCATTATAATGGCATGTCAAATAAAAAAATAGTAACATTTCCTCATCATATAGACAAAGTCAAGGAGCTGAGCCAAAAGCTAAATGATGGGACAAAGAGTTGAAACCACTTTCCCTCTTTTCTTGATTTCATAACAAACTGCATCATATTATGAGATCATTTTTGAATGAGTTCTGTCTGATCAATTACATAAACTTGCCTAGCAATGAAGTAAGCATTCCTTTGTAGAATGCCAGCAATCCCTCTTCTTTTAAAATGAGTTTAAATGCATGAATGATGCCCCTGTATCTCTTTCTTGTTGGTGCAGTCGGCTGCACGATCAAGCGTGTCTTCACCATGTCCGTGGGGTATGTGACTATGGTCGCAGCCATGCCGCCGAGAGCCCCGGCCATCATCGCTCTGGCTGCCGTTAGCCGACCTGTGTCGTCTGCTAGCAAAGCCTTGCACCGAGAAAACGCCAAAAACTGGACGGCAGTGAATGGACTCAAGCGTAAACAACCGATAAGATTTCCTTTCCAAAATGCTCTGACACCATGTGCTGTATAAATGTTGCCAAAACTACGTAGGGAACCTTGCTGAAGCGTTTCTTTGGTCCCAACTTGCATCCGTATTTTCACTACATCGAGCGGTGAAGTTAGTGTGCGGCTGACAAGTCCAGCGGCGGCTCCACATGATAAATTTTGTGCGTAAGTTAGTCGGTTATCTCTTCCTCCTCTGACCATCTTGATTAGAATAAATGCCCTATTCTGATCCGCAAAGTATTAGTGGATTGATAGGAAATATTTTCATCTCAGATAACTCCTGTAAATTGCCATTTTCACACTCCCTTTTAGTTTTACTTATTTTATTATGGATTCCTAGCTAGCAACTTCATGAACTGACGTTAGCTCACTAAAATTGAGCATATGCAATTTACAACATGTTAAAAAGTGTTCTTTTGAGAATTAGTAAATATTTGCTCGGTTTTTAATTTCAAATATTCCCTCAAAATATAAAGTGCTAGATAATTTGATATAAAAAGTAAGTTTTATTAGAAATTTATTATAAATAAAATATGATTTTGAAAAGTAATTTAGACTCTCCTTTTAACTTGGCAACGCTGATATCCAATCCTTTCGACTTCAGCCTGATAGCTCCGATCCGTCCCTCTGCGCTGCAGAGCACGGATCCTGACCAAGATCTGCCCCAAGCTCTCGGGTAGTCCACTCGCGCCGTGCCGCTCAAAATCTTTGACCCGGCCAGGTACCGGTACATGTGTTGCATGTGAGCCAACGCAGCATGCACGCGAAGTTGCGAACGCACAATTAAATTACAAGCGATTGAATTGACCTGGCTGGCCTGGATCGAGGATTGTGCACGTAGGCAAACTCAGCTCTGATCGTCGAAGAGAAGTGGAAATTGTCTGAATACTGACATCTAGATCTACTAGAAATTAACTCAACACAAGTTCAATCATGTCGGGACTCAAGAAGATGAAGTTAGCTGCAACAGATATAAGTGGGAAAAGAGTTATTATGAGGTAAACTTCAGACTTTTCAGTGAACTTAATTAATTTAAAGTGTTTAAATGGCAATCCAACTTCAAAGATTCCAACCCTTCCTTGTAATAATAACATGATAAACATGATAAAGAGTACAGACTGTTGTCGTAATCATAATTATGTTGATTTGAATGAAAGCAAAAAAATAACAGAAACTTAATAGACTCTAGCAAAAGTTTTAAATGAATTGGACAGGAAGTTATGAATGTTTGAAATAATGAAATTATGATCATGATGAGATCGCGATCTTGGTACTTGGTACTTGGTAGGATTCCTCCAAAAGACGCCTTAAAGGTGTTTAAACTGGATGTGTGTCGTCGTGTGCGGCCACCAACTTAAGGTGCTGGTTTTAAGTTTGTTTTAAGCACAGATTTCAAAGTATTTAAGGAAGGTTGGGCTACAATTGAGGGAGAAAGACTGTTCCAGTCCTTAACTGTCCTTGGGAAGAATGAGTAAGCGTATGCGTCCGTCCTGACTTTGTTGATATAGAATTGTTGGTCATGGCCCCGTCTTGTTCGTTCTACCTTGGGTGAGATGTAATTCTTGTAGTTGATGTCCATCAAGTCGTGAATCATTTTGTACAAGCAGGTGATACGAGACTTCCGTCTTTCCTCCTGGAGGGGGATCCAACCCATTGAGTCCTTCAAATCAGTGACACTTGAATATCTTGTATAAGTGTTTTTGACGAATCTAGCTGCTGCATTCTGGACTCTCTCAATGTTGCTGATGTTGGTGCTCTTATATGGATCCCAGGCTGAAGAAGCATAGTTAAGATGAGGTTTAACCAGCATAGAATACAGCTTCTCCTTTGTTTTTGTTGAAGATTGATAGAAGTTCCTTTTCAAGAAGTTGACTACTTTCATGGCCTTACTTCTTGAATTTTCAACCTGCTTGTTCCATCTCATATCATTTTGTATGATTATACCCAAGTATCTGGTGTGTGTGGTTTCTTCGAGATTGACTCCCATCATCTGGTAGGATGTTCTGTTTGGTTTCCTGCTCCTTGTGACTCGCATAGTTGTGCATTTGCTCGGGTTGAAAGTCATTCCCCAGGTATTGGCCCAGTTGACCAAGGTGTTAAGATCCGTTTGCAGTATTTCCTCATCTTTGGGTGATCTTATGGTGTTATACATTAAGCAATCATCCGCATAGAGTCTGATAGTACTCTTCACACCATTATCAATATCATTGATATGAAGGAGAAAGAGATGAGGCCCGAGGACCGTACCCTGTGGAGTCCCACTAAGGACGGGAACCCAGTCAGAACACTCGCCGTTAATCATGACCCTCTGGGATCTCTTAGTAAGGAAGGATGATATTAACTTTTTGGTTTTGGATCTAATCCCGTAGAAGTCCAGTTTAGTGAGAAGGCTATGATGCGGCATCTCATCGAAGGCCTTAAAAATATCCAGTATAGCTACATCCGTTGTCAGTCCAGTATCAATACTCTTTGTAAGATCATGAGTTGTCAAGATGAGCTGGGTTTCACAAGATCTTGCCTTTCTGAAAGCATGCTGGTTGTCAGAGAGTATGTCCCATTTTGATAAATGGGTCATAAGATTCGAATCAATGATATGTTCCAGGAGCTTACAGCAAACACACGTTAAAGAGACCGGATGGTAATTCGCTGGATTTGTTGTGGGCCCTTTCTTGTAGATGCGTGTGATGTTTGCTTTCCTCCAATCCTCCGGGAGGTCACCCAGGTCGAGTGATTGCTGAAATAGATACAGGAGCAATTTCATCTGCTGCTAACTTCAAGGCTTGATTCGGGACTTGATCTGGACTTATAGCCTTTGAGGCACTACTGGTAATCAAAGTCTGAATCTCAAATTGGTAGTTACGTTTGGTCAGTGGATTGTGGCGTGATGTGGATAAATAACTTCCATTTGCAGTGTATAAAAATATAATGAATTTCTGTTTTACCAAGAAGGTTTTACTAGGTCCTATAATTCTAAAAAGAATAAACCATCCTGACTACCTGAGCTAAGCCATTAATTGGGGAAAATTTAAATTTCAGTCATTTTGGAACAGATGAGAAAGTAGTCCGGCACTAAACCTACATCACATTGCTATTATTACCACTTCAGCCAATTTGAAGTTCCCATACATATAGTGATTACAACTTTCAAACATTCATAACTTTCTTATAATTTACCGGTACGTAGTCAGATTTCATCATAATATTGAAACTTTCATCAGCTAGTTTGCTTCTCTGATATTTCTGCTTTCTTTTAGAGTAGGCCTAGATCTAGTAGTTGTCTATTGACAGTGCAATAGGGGTGCTGGTCTGGACAAAACGCATCTAAAAAATAAGGATCGTCCACATTTTTTTTCTTCGGCTCTCTGTGCAGCTGTGGGTGTAGGATTCCTAATCTGCGCGCTGGCTATGTAAAAAATGGATTCCGCGTAATAAAATTCCCCCAGTTCACCGTCTACTTTTATGGGTGTCTGTCTTCCGGAGGATTTATCGCTCATAACATGAAAGTTTCTGTACAAAGTCAATGTGAAATGCATCAAGGAGCATCATCGCGGAATCCGTTTTTCGCATTGCCAACTCATGGTTCGGAAATAAAAATCTTCCGCAAAAAATGCTTACAATCCTTATTTTTCAGGACGCGTCTGTCCGCGCTTACGAAGACGATCCTCATTCTCGGACCCCTACTGATTTGGGCTGGATTTCCCTTTAATGATTAATCATCTTCCAACTGTACTACTACTATTTATAGTAATAAGTTAGTGTATAGACCGAAAGCTTCAGCCTCTGATATTGACGGCTGTTCTGCTGAGATTACATCTGGCTCCTCTGACCACCTCTGAGAATGTTGACAAATGTCCGTTTGATTAACGAATGACCCATACTAGACGGTTATTTCTGTCTAGTTAGTGTAGTGTAATTTGTAGTATATTGACTTGTTTATAGCATATCTAAATTTAGCAAGGTTATAAGACAGAAAAATCAGTCTGCTAATTGTTATGTTTTTAAAACCAATTTTGTTTTTTAATGCTCGATCTCCTTCCGAGCTTGCACAGACTGCTCATTCTGTGCTGTGTTAATTGTACAGCCAATATTCCATAATCCATAACTACAAACATATATGGCTCAGAGTATATATGCTAGGCTGCGTTCATGCTTGATTTTGAAGGTAGAATGAGCGATCTGAAACGCTCATCGTAAACGCTCATCGTGATCGCAGTTCCACGGTGTACTGTTCATGCTAACTTCTCTGGCTCCTCAAGGCAATTCTCCATGTTTGGCCCTAATTGGTCTTCCAGCTGGATTCGCAAACCTTCACTGTGCATGCTACGTAGACCCACTAGAGGTCAGTGCGTTGACTCCATTTAAACGCGTTTACAAATTGTAAACGCATCTTTTTGTGAGTTTACGATCGGCGATCGTGATCGCCGTTTTTCGGTGATTCTACAAAAGTGAGCTAAGACGCAACCGTGTTTTAAACTAAACGCGTAACAGATGCCTGATTCTGGCCAGAAAAAGTGAAGCATGAACACGCCCCTAGAGAGCAGAGACTGAGGTAAGATTCAAATGCAAGAAGTAAAAATGTCATGTAGGTAAGCAGAGCTCAGAGGTGAAATCTTCTAATAGAGGATGCAGAACTAAATGTTGTGATGACACTGGAGGCCTTTAGAGATTTTGCTCTGCAGTGAGTACTAAATGAAATGCAGTATCATTTGCCCAAACTACATTACATACCGGTAACTAGTGCAAACTTCATTTATATCATATTGATATTGATTGTCTAAAGCTAGTTTTTATTTAATTTCTAATTTTCAGAGTGGATTTCAATGTTCCACTAAAAGATGGGAAGATTACCAATAACCAGAGGTAAGTGTTTGCAATGATCATCAGCAATATTGATGTTGATAGATTATCTTTTTTCCCCCTTCTATAGTAATACTAGAAGTAGTGCATTGCATTTTAATGTTCAGGAACTTCAGGATTTCCTCTGTGAGCCTCTCTATTACTTGTATTAGTCTCTAAGTTCTCACATCGATCCATTATTGTTTTATTTATGTGCACATCTCTTTGCATTGTAATGAATGTTTTCAGTTTTATTCAACCTTGTAGGAGAGGAAAACATTATTTTAAAATAGTTAAAATTGCCCTGTTTTTATTTTTCTATTTTCATTCCAATTTGAAAGCTGTACTAGATCTGTAAGGCATAAAGATGTGTCAGATAAAAACCAATAGAGAATTATACTACAAAAATATTATAAAGTGGGATAATAATGTCAATGTATTTTTCTAATGGAAGCGACTTTCTTCATTCTGTAATTTGGTAATGAGAAAGGACGAAGATGATGTAGATCGAGGTGAATATGATGTCCTCTGTCACTGAAAGGATGAAGACATGTATTTTATAGAGGAAGTGTGGTTGACAAAGATTTAAAAGATAAAAAGATTGCAATATAAATTTAGATATTGTGAATGTGATGATGTTTTTTGTTCATGTATCTATTATTTTGGATGAATTTTACTCTCAGGATTGCCGCTGCTCTTTTAAGTATCAAGTATATCTTGGAGCATGGTGCCAAGTCTCTTGTACTTATGAGCCATCTAGGGAGACCTGATGGCAGGCGACAGGACAAGTTCTCCCTCAAACCAGCAGCAGAGGAGCTACAGAAACTCTTGAACAAGTGAGTATGTTACTTCTTCACAAGGCCCAGTGGTAGAATGAATAATAAGGAATATTAAAGTATGTAAAGGGGAAGTTAAATCCGATATTAAGTTAGCTTTGATAGCAGCCGGACAAAAAATGAGAGAAATATCACTGATCAGAAAATTTTAGCAAAATCCAATTTTGTTCATTTTGTGTGTTGTCAAAACAAATGTCAGAGTGACCTCATGGATAATAATAATAATTACAGTGCTTATATAGCGCCTAACACTTACTTTGTCAGAAGTCTCTAAGCGCTCTACAATAATGATTTAGCCAATTTGAAATTGCCATATTAATAGTGATTCAGATTAGAAATTTTTTCAAAAAATTCATAATTTCCTTACTTTTTATCTGATTTCTTTTAAAACTTTTACTAGTGTGTTTCTATGATTTTTCTGCTTTCTATTAAAGTATTTGCTCTTAGAACTTGATTCCCCTTTAACTATTGCAACTTGCAAGTCTTTCATATTAAATAAATATTAACTTGTCTTTTGCTGAATGTTAAACCTGGTATGCATCAGGTAACGCCTGGCTGGAATGCAGCCCAGGGAGTAGAGATTATGCACACAGTATGTGTGGGCAAGTATTGAATCCAAGACCGGGGTAATAGTATATTCGTAAAGTGCTTAGAGACATAGATGTATTAAGCACTACCGGTATATGAAAGCAGAATTATTATTATTATGCTAAACCCTGTCACAAATCAAATATTCAGTCTATGCTTCGTATATTTCAAAACCCATATATTTGATAATTCATTGATTGTGTAACAAATTTGCAATTTATTTTTAAGGTACTAGCCTTCTGATATCAAGTATTTTCAGGATTCACCAAGATTTTCTGAAGAAATAAATGACTTCACTATTATCACGAATCAGAAATCTTTGCGCTTGGAGAAAATCCATTTAGTAATCAGATGACTTTAGAACAATCTGTAGTTTCCTAAAGTGACTAAAAGTGAGTATCATGTAATTGAATATGATACTGTATATTTCCAGGGAGGTGAAGTTCCTTTCGGACTGTGTAGGAGCAGATGTAGAAGCTGCTTGTGCTGACCCCGCCCCAGGGACAGTCATCCTCTTGGAGAATCTCCGTTTCCACATCGAGGAAGAGGGCAAAGGTGTCGATGAGTCTGGCCAGAAGGTTACTATTTCTTCTCTTATCTAGTTTCAAATTGTCCAACTCCATCACCAAGTTGAATGATAGTGTCATTTGCTGAGACCGAAAAGGAAAGCATTTGCAATAGAAAAAATTTGCAATTGAAAACCCTTCTGGTTTTAAGCAAATGAAACATGTATCTATTATATCCCACACACCAAGAATCTTGCAACACGATTGGTCTGAATATGGTCACATGAGAAATGATAGATTGCATATCTTGGCGGCCAAAGTACTAGAAACTATCTCAGATAGTCTTGATTTGCTAATGCAGCATAGACATACACATTCAGAAAGAATTTTATGCCCTTTGCTGGAAAATGACTGCTAATATTCAAAATCACTTAATGAGATATCAGCTTTCAAATTCATTTTATATATATTCTCTGTTTGTATATTGACCCTATGATGAACAGGTGAAAGCTAGTCCTGAGGCAGTTGCAGCATTCAGAGCTTCACTCTCTAAGCTAGGAGACATCTATGTTAATGATGCATTTGGTACAGCACATAGGGGTCACAGGTATGTAGGAGATAGGGATATATCCCTTCCAGGACAGGAATGTTCTAAGGGCAAAGTTGGTCACATTTTGTTCTTTAAATTGGCAACAATTATGTTTCTTTTATTATTAGAACATTGTTCTAATGAAGTGTAAAGTCTTTGAAAACGATATATGTCTGTAGAAACTTTGTGACAAAGTTATTAAAAGAACACATCAAATTTAAATAAAAAAGCAATGGTTTAAAACTCTCAATGTGTTGCCACTTGGAGGATTTTAAATCATATTTTCCTTTTTAGAATTACTGACATCAAACTCGATGTGGTCATGCAACAAACATTGACCCAGTTTTGTGCAGAAATTTTTTCCTTTCAACTTGTGCGTCTGGTAGAATCGTTTGGGCTCTGAATCAAAATGGATAGAGTCTAACCACAAAATGTGGAATGACTGTCGATCTGTCACGAAAGGGGTATAGGAGAAATCTGGATAAGTAATGTTGAGAGCAGATACCATAGTATATCTTTGTGTGTGTAGGATTCCTATTCTAAATGATATGCTAATGGAATGTACTTAGACTGAACTATAATACAAGATATAGCAGAATATTGTTCTAAGTCACATTTCAGTAGAGCTGCAGTGGGTTACATGCTCACCGGTAAGAAATCTCTATGTAGCTTTACAGTCTCACGAATTCTCTACCGGTAAATGATTTTAATTTTTCATACTTTCAAAGCAAATTTTAAAGTCTCTGCTATAGTACTTTCTGCACTTTAAACAGTTAGAACAATTACATTTGACATAGAACCCTGTTAGGAAAGCTTGAATTTTATCCCAGAACCTCTGATTTAACGTAATGAATATGAAAACCATTGTGAAAACCATATGAAAACCATCACAAGGGAGCTCCAAATATTTTAAAAATTCCAATTCCAATAGAAAAAATTGTCCCTTTACATTATAACAATATATTCTGTCTTTCAGTTGTGTTAGATATTGATGTGCTGATGAAATCGTTTTGTGTTTTTTTCTTGATGATAGTTCTATGGTGGGTGTGAATCTAAACCAGCGTGCAGCAGGATTCTTAATGGAGAAGGAGCTGAACTATTTTGCCAAGGCTCTGGATTGCCCAGAGAAACCATTCTTGGCCATTCTTGGAGGGTAAGTGGACTTCCACAGGTTTCATGATGTAACTAATTAGCCATTCAACAGCATGAGTAGGGTACTGCTATTACTTTGAAGTGGAAAGATGGCATATCGTAACTTGATATAGGAATAAATTGCCAGAACCCAATGTAGATATTTGCGTTAAAAAAACAGTAACTTTTAGGGGTTACCATTTGCATGGGCAGATAATAATATCAACTCTTCTTCTTTGTAATTGTGTATCCTTAAAATCCAAAGTTAATAGTGATAAGTTACCATGAATTGTGATGTCCTAATCAATGCGCAGGAGATAATGATCATATGTTACAAATAATATCAACTCTCCATCTTTGTAATTGTGTATCCTTAAGATCCAAAGTTAGTGATAAGATACTATGGATAGGGAATCTCCTAGTCAAAGAGCAGGAGATGATGATCATAGGTTGTGAATTATACAAATTCTTCTTTGTAATTGGTTATCCTTAGATCCAAAGTTAGTGATAAGATACTATGGATTGGGAATCTCCTAGTCAAAGTGCAGGAGATGATGATCATAGATGATGTTCTCTTCTTTATATCTGCAGAGCCAAGGTCAAGGATAAGATCCAACTGATTGAGAATCTGCTAGACAAGGTGGATGAGATGGCGATAGTAGGTGGGATGGCTTTCACCTTCCTCAAGACACTACAGGGTATGAAGGTAAAGGGATTATTTAAAATGATGTGACACTTTAATTTTCCAAAAAATCCACCAGCAAAAAAGATGACTTTCTTTATGTTTGTTAACAATCAATTGACCTGTCATCTCCACCTTTTAAGATTTGTTAAGTTGCTTTCTATTTGTAGTGCAGAATCCACAAATCCAGCTTCGACTTCAGATTTGCTCTCCTATTAGGGAGAAAGGATGGGAATCTAATGTAGAGGTGTCGTTGTCTAGTGGATACCTCGCCAGACTGTGGATCACATGGTTTGAGGTTGGAGTCCTGCAGTGGCACTAATGTCTTTGGTCAGACAGTAATCTACATTTGCCACTCTCCACCCAGGTGAAGTGAATGGTACCCGGTACAAAGAAATTCCTTGAATGCTTTAGCGCCTTATCATGGCAGCTCAGTTACAGACGGGACAATGTGATACTTTGTATTATTTAAGTGCAGTAGAGTATATTCGTATAGTAACTGCGTGATATGAATGGATATGTTATTAACATATTCTTTTGTATACAAAATTAGAAGTTAAAAGAAAAGAACAAATAATACAAAAAAACACCTAACAGTATTTTGGGGGTTTTTTTGATGAAAAAGAACATAGTCTTTAAGATTTAAAAAAGGAAAACAAAAATCTATAGGCTGTTTCATTGGCCAAATCATGCATCACCTTTGTAGCTGTAAGACAACATTTCAATGTCATATTACATGATAATAAGAACACAGCCTTGAAATTAGTCTTAGTTTGATTTTGAAAGCTATTTCAATCATGAGAAAATAATAATCTAATATGGCAGTATTGTTTATGAAGATATGCACAACTAAAATTTGTGCCATGGTGAAGTATGATTCATAGGTTTGATATGAACCACAGAAATAACTGAATAATTTATGACCATTGTCATTGTTAATTCCAGATTGGCAACTCTCTGTTTGATGAGGAGGGATCCAAAATAGTCGCCAAGTTGATGGAGAAGGCTGAGAAGAAAGGTGTCAAAATTCATCTACCAGAAGACTTTGTAACCGGTGATAAGTTTGCAGATGATGCTGCCGTAGGAACAGCTACCGTCTCTTCTGGCATCCCTGATGGTTGGATGGTAAGATGATAGTCTGATCTTGAAAGGAAATACAAAGACTTAAATTAAATGTGACCATGGTGACCAACCGCATCTTTGAGCTCTAATTATAATCGCATAGAGCAACTTTTTGGTGGTTTTATGGTGGAATTGGGCTGAAGAAATTACACAAATTAGGAAGATGGTAAAAGTTGAAAGTCAATGGGGGACAAAAGAGGGAGAGATGAAGAGAGAGAGAGAGAGAGAGAGAGAGAAAGAGAGAGAGAAAGGGGAGATGGAGGGAGAGAGAGAGAGGGAAAGAAGTATAGAGGAATGGGGATAGGTAAACAGACTGGCGAGGGAGAAAAACGGGAACAGAGCAGATGGCTTCAATATTGATGTATACTACATGTATTAGACAAGGAACGTCTGTTTGTTTGATATATCATCTGTTAAGAAAGGGGAAAATGTAAGCATCGACTCTAAAATATGATATATGATTTTCTGTTTGTATCAAAGGGTCTGGACTGTGGGCCAAAGAGTGTAGAGTTCTTCAACCAGGCAGTTGCCAGGGCCAAGTTGATTGTGTGGAATGGGTGAGTCTTATTGCTTTTATAAGTGAAAATTTGGTCAACTTCCTTGCCTAGAAATATAATAGTATAGTCTAATGGAGGTAACTTGTTCTGACATACTGTATAGGCCATTTGTACCCTGCGAGGGGATGCTACGCTTTGCGTTGACTTGTTGCTTTTGGGATCTATTCATTATGAATCCATGCAAAATTAGTCAAGAATGTTATGGGTATAAAAGTAACCAATGGTCTTTCAAGAAACTATCAGTAGTCTAAAGTAAGTTTGACCGATCTGCCATTGAAATTTTCCCATGCTCCCATCGGTTCTCTGCCATAGGCTTATTACATTTTTTCCAACTGAACACATTAACACAAACGACTATTTTTGTCTGGTTGGAGCTACAAATGTATTAACTCACATAGAGTGAATTGCTCCAAAATGGAAGTTGTAAATATGCCAGACATAATTATAGCATGTCACGTTTCCTAAGTTTGATTTAGAAATACATGTATCCCTGTTCGCATAGTCTTTTGCAATACCTAATGTCCTATTTTCCCCAATATATCAATTTGATATATTTTCTATTACATTTATTTAAACAAATTTCTATCAGTGAAATGAAAATAGTCTTAAAAGGATTCTACAATTTCTGTGATATTAGTGATCATTGTACAGAAGTGACATTGTATTTTGCACAGTGTATTCATAGTGAATTAATAAGTGGCATTATGATGAAGAATGAATCAATTTTGGCATTTGCGAAATCACAAGACATTGAGATATATTTTATATCTGATGAGGTTCAAGATGGCAGGAGTCCATCACATTAATCTTATCTTGTCCTTCCTCTATTGTCTACCGTAGACCTGTGGGTGTGTTTGAGTTTGAGAAGTTTAGTGCTGGAACCAAGTCTGTCATGAATGCTGTAGTCGAAGCTACTAAGAAAGGAACAACAACCATCATAGGTGAGCTACTCATTGAATATTACAAAATTGATTGATTTCTCTTTGACCTATGAGTCTGATTTATTTAGAAGCTAGTGGATTCTAATGATAGGACTTTGCTCAACACTACCGGGCTCCTGGGACACATGGGCACCCAAAAACTAAGTCTGGACCACCAGAATTCCCAAACTTTTATATAGGGCTCATGCGTATAAATTCTAAAAAGTTAAATCTGGATCCCTTTAAAAAAAATCAGTGTTGCGCCCTGCTAATAATATTATGTCCATGGGGGTAGCCCTGGATCCGATACAAAAAGGAGGTCATTGACATAACTTAGGTGTGAAGACTTAACCCTTTCCCAAACCCTACCACATGTATTTGGAGAGAAAATATCAAGAAAAGCTGTTGACATGTGACTATAGGATTGTGGGTAACGTACACTCCCCCTCTCCCTTTTCAATTAATTTGTTCACATTAATGATTTGTTTTGCCCTCACATTACAAATTATCGGAATTCGTACTGTGAGTTCACGGAAAATAATTTGGTGTAGTGTTAATTTGTATAATATATATGTTAAGTTATGTCAGATTTTGAATCAACAAGGTTATGCATTGAATTTATTGGATGTCTTTATACATTAAAGCAGGGAAAGGCTTCAAATTCCATCTCTACATTATATTTGTTACATTTAGAAAAAGAAATCTGTGGCATGAAATTGATTAATACAAATATACAACGCAAGAATTATTGTAACCTGTTTAAAATGGAGATCTAACTAGCATATATTTGATGGATAAATTTGTCACTGTCTTATGACAGGTGGAGGTGATACAGCAACGTGTGCAGCGAAGTATAAAACTGAGGACCTTGTCAGTCATGTCAGTACTGGAGGTGGAGCCAGTTTAGAGCTCTTGGAAGGTACGTTTTACGTCATATTATGTATTATACTGGTTATTTCAGGGATGAGATTCCTCCGCCGATCCACGAGATTTCAAGACGGGGAGTAAACAAATAGAAATCAAAATTTAACTTTCAGATTATCATTAATTGTAAATCTAACATTATTTTTCTCTCATCTGAACCTTTAAGCAAGATGGGGTGACAAATATTTCTCAAATTTAGAATTTAAATGCAAGGAAAACGTGTCCTTTTACATAAATACATTCTAAAGTTTACCCAGACCCCAATTTAATCTTCCTTCTTTTGGGGAATTTCTCTTTCTCATCCCTAATACTTAAGAATACTGAAGTGATGATAGAGTATTTGCTGGCTTTAAGGGGGATATGAGACTATATTGCTAGATTTAAATCATGTTGCCCAAGTAAAAAGAGGGCAATCCAGTTTATTAAATTGAGGGCAATCTAGTGTTATAATCACGTTTTTTCTTGGACACAGTGTATAACTTCTATTGTGCATAGATTAGCATACTGTTGTACCATGGGCAGTATGAGAGCATAATATTCTTTGTCTCACTTCTGGGAATTTTAATCTGATAAAAGTTATGTTTAGTATCATAAAAAGTGGATAAATGATAACAGTATTATTCACTGGCTCATTTAAGAGGTAATCTGTGACAATTTTACTCTTGGCGTTACCACATTGCCCTTGTCTTTGAATCAGATGATTTTATTACTCAAATGTAATGGTCTCGTATTGCTCTTAAAGCCAGTCAATATTATATAAATATGTGATCCAGGAATAATTATTATTCTAATAGTGTACAATTTTACATTCCTTTAAAGATGAAGTTGAGTTCTGGTCATGCGATTGCATTGTGAAAGAAACGGTGTGGAACCGACCAGAAAAGGTTGATCATCTAGCATATAAGAATTTGTGTGTACTGCAAGGTTCTGGAATCATCAAAATGATAAGAAATTTGGCCAAGTCTTGGTAGTTACAAACACTTGCACAGAAAGATGTATATGGGACTACACGAACATGTGGCGTAAAAAGCCGGCCCCCCGATTTTTACGATGTTACATGCATATTTAGAATATGAAGGCATTTGAAGAGCCATGCTTTTCAGGGAACATGTCTTAACTGATGTTCTTCCACACTTGCATAATAAGAGTGAGTAATGCTCACAAATTATTTTTCACCTCTTCCCAGAACTCAACCTTCTCTTTAAATGTTTTAATCATTATGATTATTCTATATTTTGCTTTCTGTTTGTACATTGTCTCACAATTTTAATGATTTCTTTGCTGCGTCTTTTCATACAGGCAAGGTACTACCCGGTATTGATGCTTTGACCAACGCGTGACTACCCAGATCACCCATCCCCAGCAGTGTGCTGTGACCCAATCCTGTAGGCTTGAGCGGTCATATTATAAGTGGCAGGAGTGGGATGTATAATCATGTACTACAGTTAAACCTGCTTTAGTGACCACCTGTCTACAAAGGCCATATTTGTTGTTTCCCTTGAAAACGAATTCTCATTGAATCATGTACTAAATGAACCTGTCTACAAAGACCACCTGTCTACAAAGGCCTCTTTTTGTGTTTCCCTTGGGTGGTTGCTATAGACAGGTTTGACTGTATCTATCAATCCATCCATCATGTATTGTATCTACCTGATGCAATGCAAGGCAATTAAAACAATTATTTTTAGAGCAGCCCCCACCTTTGCCCCAACCTCGTGGCTGACCTTGTCCCATTCTCAACCAAGGCGACGGGTTCTTTGATATTTTTCATTTCAAACTCAGCACTGCCAGGATTTCTGTGAGATATCATCTTACCCCATTACCTATGGTGACTGGGTTGCTTCTGTATAAAAGCCTATAGGAATGAAAGAATCAAGCAGTGAATGGCTTAATTCATTTCTTTTTGAGCAGTCAAAGAAAGGATTATTGACAAGAAGGGTTGGGGGCGAATGGGAGTGCCTACACTCATGTAATGTTTGTTTACTTCATATTCTTAGTAATATTGTAAAGAAATAGTTAAGTCATATGACTCTCACTTTTCTCACAGTGTCTGAGAGTGGTTGCAATATCTTCATGTGGCATGCAGCCCGTCAGTTTGTTTCTGTATACCGGTAGTGATTAGTCGAGCAGTACTCTGTACTGAAAAAAAAATAGTAAAGCAAACTTTAATAGATATAATCTAGTTTTGTAAGTTTTTTTAAAACTTATGTGACTTTGTGTTTAAAAAAAAATAATCAAGACAATTCTAATATTTATCTCCAAAGTTATCCATGCAATGGAAAATGATATGTGTATATTCTAGACTATTAAATGGACTTTTGATAGCTACATTTAATAGACCTCTAAAGTCACTACCAATGTAGCATAAACTATATATTATTTTTTTGTAATCGGGAGCTGTTCTACAAAGATGTTATTTTTGTATAGCTTGACATAGTCTGGAGGTGGAAATAGGTTTCGTAAGTACCGAGTTAAATTGAATAAAATGATGTACTTCTTATAGCCCTGAACAGTAATGTGAAGAGCTTGTCTTCATGGACAATCAGGTATTATGTTACTACATCTTGGATATATCTTCAATCACATACACTTCTAATATCTTTCTCCTAATTCAATGTATTATAATATCCACCATGAAAGGGCTGGGGGCTAAGTCTATTTGTCTGTTTGGCAGGGTATTGTTTTAAAAGAAGATTGCTACCAGAATTGTCATGATTTTTATAGTAGTGGGCTTTATTTTTTGGATGGCAACCACAGAATGTCATTATTTGCCAAAATGTCATCATTCTTCAACCAAACTATGCTACCAGTATTTTGTCTTCACTCCTATAATTTGGCACAAAAAGTTGTCCTGAGTGTGTTCAGGTAACTTGATATGTCTGTCTTGTAATGAGTTTCAATCGTATGCCCTCTAATCAGTCGCAGAGTATAAGCCATCAATTTCCTTTTATGAGGAGTTGCAATTGATGTGGATCTGTATAAATCAGGGATGCATGTTTTCAGGCAAAAGGAAATCCTTAATTCAAGCTCAAGCATGAATTAATTTTGCTGCAGATCACTTTTTTGGGCCAAATTCAGACTCTTTGTGTACAAAGCAGATAATTTTTGAATATTTTTGGACACAATCATGAATTGTACATTTGAACCTGAGATTAATGTACTTTTCATCTTGCCTATCTCCTCACATAGAAACTTCTTTTCTCATCAGAATAATTATTTGCGAGTTGATGAATACATAGGCTAGAATGATACATACATTTATGTTAGATATGTGTGAGATTTTTTGTTTCAGGTAGATATACTTTAGTGTTGGATATACATCTAGGATGTATGATATCACTAGTTGTGCAAAGCACAAAATTTCTTAGGAATTTGCCAAATGTAACTAGTCTTATAATAAATCTGCCTTTATATAGCACATCATACAAAATATTATTTCCCCTGTCATTGGATTCATTCACACACACACACACACACAATGGGCACCATCTCCACTCCCTGGGGAGTATTCCTACCATACGGTCACTATGAGGGCTTAGCAATTACTATCGCAGCTAGGGGCTTTGGTCATGGATTGCAATCATCTGTATGTATGCACTCTTCCATTATGGACCTATCCATTTCATTTTAGTATCTGTGGTGGATCCAGCGAGTGAGAAGGTGCTCGCCTCTAAATTGTTTTATCAACTCCCCATAGCATCATGTAACTTAGTATACGTTTGACACAGTGGAGGTGAGCACCCTTCAAATCTTGGATTCACCACAGGGCTTCTGTACTTCCCTCCTAAGTCAGGAATGTGATCAATCAAGTCCATGGTGGTAGAAATGTCTTTGAACATGTAACAGCATGCTAATACCGATCAATGTATGTGAATACTGAGCTAAAATACAATTATGTGCTGTGGTGTAGGTATAATACACTAATTTGAATAAATGGAGAAATTATGAAAATTGAAACATTTGTTTGTGTTTTTGCAGGCTTCAGTGCAAGGAAGACATTCAATCACACCATGTGTTACATTTTCATTGATATATTACTAGTAGAGTGTTTTGTGGAGCGATTGGAGAGAAAAAAAAACAAGTGAGGAGAGAGAGAGAGAGAGAGAGAGAGAGAGAGAGAGAGAGAGAAAAGGAGGGAGATAGGACCAAATAGACAAGGAAAGAATGATTGTGGGTATATGAGAGATGTATTCTCTGAGAGATATAGACGAGTGTTGGCAGAGAAAGGGGGAACCAGAAGAAAGAGGTGAAGATGGCTCTAAAAAGTGATGACCAGTAGTTTGTAAAGAGTTTTTTTTCTTCATATGTATCGATGAAAGAGGGGTAAAAGACGCCAATCAAACAAAGAGGCATGACAAGAGAAAATGAACCTGCCTTTGTTTTTTTCCTGTCTGTTCACCGAATCATACATGTTTATAATCATCTGCAAATTTTAGTTCTTGAGAAATATTCTTGGTTATTGCAGTTTTTTTGTTATCTTGCTACCCCCCCCCCCCCCCCCCCCCCCATTAAAAAAAAAATGGGTGGAGGCTTTGTAGTTTATTGTAAGCTAATTGATTTGAAATTGTATATCTGTGAAAGGTTCATTTTGAGATTTTTAAATAAACCAATATCAAATACTAATTATTAAGAAAAAATAAGGGGATTGATAACAAGGCTTAGACAGTTATGATCGTAGGTGGCGCTGTGTAACTGTAATCAAATTCAAGATGGCGACTTACATAGGCAAATCGTGGTTGTCTGCTGTCGGGAAACCAGTTGCAATTTCTCCGAGAAAACTATGTTCAAAGAAACCGATTAATAGATGGAAGGAAAGCGTAAGAAGACATTATTCGGTTAATGCGGATTGGTAAGTATAGGAAATTATGAGAAGCTACGAAGTTTGCCCATAAGTTGAATTAGGTTGAAGACAACTTTTGTCTTGGAGTTGCATATCTACCGCAACCAGCTGGACTGGAGCTGGCCAGGCGTCGCGGCCGCTCAGCGCCAGAGTCAGGCGGAGGTTCTCGCTCGTTAGAGCCGTAGGGTAGCGCACAAACTTCGTGTAGGCCTACGTGTACCGGGTATTTCTCCGAAGATAATAGATAATAGAAGTAGGTCTAGAGAACTGTCACAGTATGCTAATGCATACCTATATCTTCTAAGAATACCTTACTTTAGTAAATATAATTTTGTTTGGGTTGCCAGCTTGATTATGAATGATGATGGGGAAGTTAACAGAGATTTTTGAAAATTAGGAAATGTGATATCCGATCCATGAATTCTCATATTCTACCCAAATCTGTTTAGTTCAATCATTCCCAAAGAGCAGCAAAGTTTTTTATTACAAAGTGCTGCACCTTGAGTTTGAATAATTAATAACAGAAGGTTCATCATCAAAGAATTCTGGAGATATCATCATAATCTAAAATTTCTATGGATTTGGATGCACTTCAAGCCTTCAACTGATGGAAAAGTCATTAAAAAAAACAAGAATTTAATTCGCGCACAGGATTTTACAGCTGATTTTTCAAAAAAGGTGATCCATCAATTATAAGATAATCAATAATTTGCAAGGCAAAATATCACCCAATTGTAGTTGCTATCACTTTTTTATTTACAATTTTGATGACATCTCTCGAAATGAAGATTCCTAGACCATTTTGGTTACCGGTAGTTTAAAATTTTCGAAACAGACACAAAAGACAGCGAAATTTGCTGATCATTTGTCAATATATGTTCATCATTTTTAAACCTGATTTCAAAGAAACATTTGGTCTCATAATAATTATAGGTTCTTCTTTCCATTGGTAGTATCAGATTTTCAAAATCTTACAGAATTTTTTATTGCTATTATCATAAAGTCAGTGCCAAATAAATGGGGAGGGAAGAACAGCAAAAAGAAATGCAGAGAGCGTGAGCTTTGATATATGTAATGGTAACAATACAAATATTTATTAATATTTTCAAATACTTTGAATACCTTTCTGTTGTATATAGTTCATCTTCACATGAAGGCTGGTCCAGTATGGTTGGTCTTGAGATACATGCCCAGATACTCTCCAATACCAAACTATTCTCTGCTTCTAAGGCTGAATTCATGGCACCACCAAACTCACTCGTCTCTTTCTTTGATGCCTCACTACCTGGAACTCTACCAGTAAGTATGCAATGTCTGGAATTCCAGAAGATGGTGGAGTAGAGAAAGATTGGGGAGGGGGGAGGGGAGGAGATGGGAGGTGGAGGGGGGGGGGGGGGGAGTGTGAGATGAGTTAGAGTTAGAGAAAAGAAGGAGATTGGCTTTTCCCAACATAGTTGCATTATTATCAATACATACAGTTAACAACTAAATTTTTCATACCCTTGCCAAGTTTTGTAGTTTCTTAAGTATGTTAAAGTTGATTCGGCCTGATTTATGTTTCTTGAGAATGTGACATATTAAAGTTTACATCTAAAAGTATTCAACAAAGGCTTTAAGTCCACCAGTCCACCGTTAATTGTTAAGTTACAAAAAACACATGACATAATTGTATGAATAATTTAGTTGTTAAATCAACATGTAAAGTATCTCTTTAAGGAACTCTGGTTGCAAGTTATCGAATGATCTTTTCAGTCTAAGTTTGGCTTTGATTCTCCACAAAAAACAACTTTCAGAATTCTCACTAAAAGAATGCCATTGCACTTTGCAGTGCCCTGTATTGCACCACATGACACTGTTTTTACATTTCCCCTCTCCAAATGTCATGATAATTTGCTTGTTATTATGAAAATCTTGTAACAGTGCTTGTTGTAAGCAGGTTGGTGCGCCACAGGTTTGAATGTGGAAATATTGGATGTTTCATTTAAATTTAATTTAGTTTCATTTTAATGTTTCAAGAGTGCCTTGTAAGACTTTGTTAGTTGATTATTTTTTATTTATTTCAAGATTTATTTCACACAAAAAGATATGCAAACATAATTTAGCTATTTCACAACTTTTATTCCTTCTCATTTTAGGTCTTGAATAGGAGATGTGTAGAAGCAGGAGTTCTGACAGCACTAGCCCTTTCTTGCTCTATCAACATGCGTTCGGTCTTTGATCGAAAACACTACTTCTATGCTGATCTACCGGTATATTGCTTTTAGTATTCTTGATAATGATCAATAAATTTAAAAAAATATAAAAAATATATGACAGTATAATCATGTTGACATTATGTTTCTGAATTCATTGTAACTCAGTAATGTAAATTATTTAAAAAGTATTTAATGATTTTAATGGAATCTTGATGTAAATGTACATTGATCATATTTTGTACATTTGTTTGACCATAGGGGGTAAAGATTTTAATAATGCTCAGTCCAATAAAACAAGGAACTTATATTGTATGAAGATTGAGCAGTTTGGGTCCTTGACTTCATATTTATTTCATTTTCATTTTTATTATTGTTGTGGTTATAGTTGTTGTTATTGTTATTGTTATGTGCTAAAGCCGTGGTAATAATATGAATCCAGGGCTCTCCGGGAGAACAGTATTGATACTGATGAGGCTATCCTGGGTAAAAAAAAACATATTATTATCATTATTATTATTATTATCATTTCATTTATTATAATTATTTTGATTAAACCCTCACACTTTGCAGGCAGGTTATCAGATTACCCAGCAGAGACTTCCCCTGGCTGTAGATGGGCAGGTGCATTTCAACATCTTTGATGAGAGAAGGAAGAGGCCTCCGTCTTATCGATCTGTTCGCATCAAACAAGTCCAGCTGGAGCAGGACAGTGGAAAAAGTCTCCACGACGAGGAGAACGCTGAGACACTAGTTGACCTCAACAGAGCAGGTTAGTCACATCATCATCAACTTCATCATCAACTTTATCATCATCATCATCATTCTCATCTTTCTTCTAATATCTCTTTCTTTCCTATTTTTTGCTCCGTTCTATTCTTTTTCTGTAACCTTCTTTATGGATGTGCGTACTTGTATTATTCAAGTCTTTTACTTTTTATTGGTAATGTATGTGCATTATCTTGTTATTGTTTGTTACAGGGCCCCGATTACAAGCAGATTTCTGCTTCTAAGGGGTCCTAACCATTATATTGTATATTGTATATTGTATATTGTATTTTCATTGTAAATTGTTTTATACTGGTTGAATAAATGAAATCATCATCATCACCATTATTATTATTATTATTGTTATTGTTAATATTTAATATTTAGCGTTACCTATGCCAGCTATCTTAATCACTGTAACCCTCGATGTCTCTCCTCCTGATATAACTGATTGGGGAAGTACAGATGGACCACTACTCTTATTCAAATAGTGCAGTGCGTTCGTATCATGCAAAGGTGGTTGTCCATCGACCCCACTTCTGCAATGATTATAACTCGTGTTTCTTTAAATCAGGAGTTGGTCTCATGGAGTTATTGACTGATTCAGCTATCATAGTTTGTCCATTCACAACAATCCTGCGATGATTATAACTCTTAATGCTAAATATATTTATTACTCATTGCGGATATAGTATAAAAAATATTATCGCTAGTGACATTCGATTGTCTCGCAATGTATGGTCAACAAGGGATCTAAAAGATCATGATGTTTCATGTGCCGCTGTTTCGTGTGCTTCGACCAATAGGTCTTGTCCGTTATCTGCTGTTCAGGCGCGAGGCCTGCTTTGAACACTCCAATTTTTCAAAGTAAACGTTCCGGCCTCTCGAATGTCACTAGCAATATTATTTTTGAATTTCGATATTGTAACTCTTGTTGCTTTATATCAGGAGTTGGTCTCATGGAGTTAGTAACAGAGCCAGACCTGACCAACGGTACTGACTCAGCAGCTCTGGTGAGAGAACTACAGCTTCTTTTCCAGGCCCTAGGAACATGTGACGGCAAGATGGATGGTAGGTAGACACAAGGGTAGATACAGGGGTGTAGTGTGGGTCCAGTTATTAGGGGGGGGGGGGCTCTCACTGGTGTCATGGGGGAGGGGAGGGACTGGTGATGTGAATGAAAAGCAAAATTACAAGGCTGTCTTGTGAGATGAGGGTGTGGGGGAGTGCAATCACCTGTTTACGTTGAATTTCCTTCTTCCCTCTTTCTCCCCCTCTCTCTCTCTCTGACTCTTGTTTTGCCTTTAAAAATGTAGGACTTAATGTGCAAAATGATATTACTTTAAGCAGTTAGCAAAAATTTGCTATTTCATATGAGGCATTATCGGTAAAAACATACCTGTAGTTGTAGTAGTTCATTCAATTAGACAAAATAACCAATCTTCTAACCTTATACTATACCTGTTTACACCCTCAAATATGATTTAACCTTTTTTTCTACTAGAAAGGTCAAAATCATGATAAAAGAATAAATTTATTCTTATATCCTCTTTTTGGAATCAAAAGGATGTTATTTCTGTGTAAAAAGATCTGAGTTAAATCCCTTCTTGGCTCCAAATAGATGATGTAGTTATCTTAAACTGTAGATTTTTCCACTTACAAAATTCATCTTTTGTTGTTGTGGTCAATAGAGGGATCTCTCAGAGTTGATGCCAATGTGTCGGTCAGTCGACCAGGTCAGCCTCCAGGTGTGAGGTCAGAGGTCAAAAACATCAATAGTGTCCGCTTTGTTAAACAAGCTGTAGGTGAGTACAATGTCATTAAGCAGCAGAACATGATAATTGCCCCAGGCTTTATATCGTTTAAAAAAAGGGTTAGGGTTGGGTTTGTAATTAGGGTTTAGGTTAGGTTCAAAGTTAGGGTCAGGTATCAAGTTGGGTGCAGGGTTGAAGTTAGGGATTTGGTTAGTGTAGGAATTGTCTGGAAGCATTTGTCGCAGTTACATGTGCCATGTGCTGTATATTAAACCATAGAGGTGCTGTGGTCTCATGGATAGATCTGTCACTGTCAGCGGACTGAATCCTTTGGTTCCCTGTATAAGTCACAGTGAACGCATGACTTTAAAAAAAAAAAAATTCTTTATAGACATTAATCTGCATTTGCCATTCCCACCCAGGGTATTAAATGGGTAATTTGTAGAATGCTTTAAATTTCTTAAAACAATGGTGTTAACACCAGGGTAAGTGTACTGTTTAGGTGCCTGGAACGGTTCCTGAAACGACCCCTTGGTAGATATGTGCATGATATGAATGTTCTAGGAGCTATTATCATTAGACTTATTATTTATAAATTGTACTTGTAAGAAGATTGTTTATTTCTTGGATGAAATTGCTACAAAGTGATAATAGAATGATGAATGAATATAAAGGTGATCTAATTTTCCTCTTTTACTCTTTGGCAGATTTTGAAATCAAGAGACACATAAAATTACTGGAAAGGGGTGAGAAGATCCAGTATGAAACCAGATCATTTGATAATTCACTAGGGTAAGTCAAAACAACATCAAAGAACTCAGTAAAGAGGTTAATCTGATTGGTGTTGTAACTTGAAAATAAGTCCTTCTTTTATAAATGTAATGCTTCCTGGGAGAAATTTTAATTATTTGGGTGTAAGCCACAAATGTTTAAAGCCCTTTCTTGTAAAACAAGAGAAAAAATTGGTGAGATATTGGTCTACATTTGCCAATCTCTACCCAGATTTCATAAAAGGGTATCTGGTAGGAATTTATTCCTTGAATACTTGTAGTTTCTTAGGGCAGCTAGGCTAAAGCCAGGGTAATAAAAATACTTTGTAGGTGACTTGAGCATCCCCTGTGATGGATCACAAAGTCCCGGTTTGGAGTTCCGCCGCGACACTAATGTCCTTTGGCAAGACATTAATCTACATTTGCCACACTCGACCCAGGTGAAGTAAATGGGTACCTGGCAGTAATTAATTCCTTGAAATACTAGAGCGCCGTAATGGCAGCACAGCTAAGGCCGGGGTAATAATTTCAAAATTTAGAAGCGCATAGAGACGTTTAAATTGAAATCTAACTACCACATACATCTGTAAACCTTGATGTGCATCCCCTCTTTCTTTGTTTTCTTCGTCTTTATCTGTCTTTTTCCCCTTTTACCAAAATTTTTTTTCCTCCATATTTGTATTATTATGTATCCAAGCTTTGCTTACTTTGTCAACCCTCCTGTTTGATGTTTTCGATTAGTTACAGCCAGCCTTACTTTATTCTACATATATTCTTTTGTCATGTGTAAATTTGCAATGTTTGTTTGTTATATATTTGTAAAAATGCAAAAGTAAAAGAAAATCAAACAGAAATAAATAAATCAAATCAAATCAAATTTGATATGCGCTATGCAAGAACCGAATATTATTATTATTATAATGTATGCACAATGGACCAGCCCAGATATCAAGTATGATGACATATTGATGGCAAGTTGTATTGATATGCCATAATCCACTTAGTAATGAATGTATGAGACACCTTATGAACAAAACCTTGTCCACTTGTCCATGTATATTGCCATCATCTTTCATCATAGGATCACGGTACCAATGAGAGATAAGGAGGGTAAGATAGACTACCGGTTCATGGCGGAACCAAACCTACCCCCTCTCATCCTGCATGATAACACCACCATCCATCAATCCTGCCAGCCTCTAAGAGCTATCAATGTGGATGCCTTGAGAGACAGCTTACCGGAGCTCCCAAGAGCTAGGAGACAAAGACTGGCCGACCAGTATGCCATGTCGCTGGACGTTGCCTATGTTCTAGTTGTAAGTATCAAGGGCTAGGAGACAAAGACTAGCAGACCAGTATGGCATGTCACTGGACGTTGCCTATGTTCTAGTTGTAAGTATCAAGGTCTAGGAGACAAAGACTAGCAGACCAGTATGACATGTCACTGGACGTTGCCTATGTTCTAGTTGTAAGTATCAAGGGCTAGGAGACAAAGACTAGCAGACCAGTATGGCATGTCACTGGACGTTGCCTATGTTCTAGTTGTAAGTATCAAGGCGTCACTGTTTTGTACAGAACTGCAGAGCTGAATGCAACAATTTTATCTTTCTGATTGAATAGAAAGTATTCTACTCGAAAGTTGTCAATATCAATAGGAAGAAAAAAAATTACAGTAAGAAATAAACTGTTCCAGTATGTACAATGTAGTATAGAATTACATTTCCTGAGACGAAGTTTTTTAAAGTCATGTTGTTATGCGTAATTCTAGCTATCATTGCTAGCATCCAATTACTTTCTGGCATCTAATCACAGCCCGTTATTTGTGCTTTTAGTTCCGCTTATCTTGTCTGACTTTGGCTTTCTTTCGATTCTTGCAAGGTACTCTGATGAGGGCAAGACAAAAATCTTTAGTATGTCTGTTTTTATTGCTATTATTCAAATATGTGAAATACATTGAGAAAATTTTGACTAGGTAAAAGGAATACAGATGTGACACTTTCCCTATGTAGCGTGACAAAATATAACACCTTTCCCCTGATATTTGTCCTAACAGAATGAGCCTGGCTTGGTAGAGTACTTTGAGTCTGTGTTACAAGAAGACTCTACAAGATACAGTAAAAGGGTGTTGAACTGGCTGACGACAGAGCTTCTCAAACATCTTAATCTCAATCACATATCTGTGTCCAGCAGGTACGTCCTTATCTTGTGTGTATAGACATGAACCTGTGCATAGTTCCCTGTAGTAGGTCATTTGTATTGAGACACTGTACTTGGCTTGCTTGCACCTTGAATATTATGAGAATACACCATACAGTGGTCTGTACTTACATGAAGGAAAACAGTAAGGAATACTGAATAAAAATGAAATAAAATAATCTCCAAGGCGTTTTGAATAAAAATTGGAAAATGCAGAGAAAATGGGTGATTACCGTAAAAAGTTTTTAAAAGATTAGAAAAAGTTCAGAAATGATCAGGAAACTAAAATTTGCAAATCAGCCATGTACGTGAGAGGTTTCTAGGTAACTGTGTTTATATTTAATTTGCTTGAAAGGAATCCTGCAATTTAGGCCTGAAGTACTCTAGTACTCAGGTAAAGCTCTTTACTAGCTACGACTGACCAAAGCGCTTACAGTATTATTCTTAACCCGGTTGCTGGATTCAATAACTATTCGGCACATAAAAGTGTACATTCTCCACTCCCTGGGTAGCATTCCAGCTAGTCGCCTTCCTACAGGCAAACACATGCTAATCCAACCACAATGACGTTTGCATCCTACCGGTTACCCATTTTGCACCTGGGTGGAGAGGAGCAATGCAGATAAAATGCCTTGCTCAAGGACATAAGTGCCATGCCGGGGCTCGAACCCATGACCTTTGCTTTTCCAGTCGAGTGATTAAACCACTCGACTTCGTCACCTCTACTGATTTACTGATTGGACGTTTTCTTCCTGCATTTCTGTTCTTACAGCCCATTGTGTGCATCATTGTTTGGTGAACTTATAGACCTGATGCAGAGAGGGACCATATCGGCTAAGACAGGCAAGACGCTCACTGCAATGATATTTGATGGGGACAAGAGGGATTTGATGGAGGTTTGTCAGTTTTCATACTTTTAACATTTATGTATGTTTTGCTGGAATAAATTAGTACAGAATCCTTTAGGGCTCCATGTGAAGAATATTATCTTGAGTGATTAATTAATGCATATTCAAGTGACATTGATGTTGGCCTCTTAATACAATTCAACTATTCTCTGACTAAAAATTAAATTCTATGCTTAAAACAAACTTAAGCTGAAGTGAGACAGGGTCATTTTACGTATAGTTCATCTACATTGTGATTAATAGCTATCAATTTAACATTTTCTATTTCATGACAGATTATTGAAGAGAATGGATGGGGATTAATTACAGATGAAGATGCAATAAGGCAGATCTGTGAAGGAATCATAAAGAACAGCGCAAACACAGTGAGTACACTAGTAATACTAGCCACCTTAATACATTCCTAGATTATCTGTAAACTTTAATTACTTTCAATTTTAAGAAGGATATTTGTTGACCTATTTCAGGATTTGTGAAAATACTGACTCAAGTGGAAGAACATGGGCAGGGTTTCACGAAACCATCATAAGTACAAGTTTACCGACATCCCATTGAAATGCAAGTTAAACTTAATACACGCATTTCAATGGGATGTCGGTGAACTTGTACTTATGACGGTTTCGTGAGACGCTTCCCAGAGCCTTTAAAGGTTTAAACAAAAACAAAATGAACAAGAGTATGGTGTCACATAAATGCTGTAAATCATCATGTGTTGCCTCATTTAAAAAAATATCAGCTGTATTTTATCAAGGGTATCTGACAATCTAATTTTCTTTGGATTTTCTGGTAATTTGTAAAATGCTATTATGATGATAACTGCTTTGCATTATTTCCCCTTAATCGCATAATTGGTCATAGTTTGGTCCAAACATAGCACAATAGATGTTTTTAAAAGTATCTCAAATCATTTCCAGTGGAAGGAATAATATTTGTCATGCTCGTGACAAATTAATCTTGTACTTCATCTACTTTATTTATGTACAGGTGGAGGAATATCGTCGTGGCAACAAGAAAGCAATCAACAGGCTGATGGGAGATGTTCAGAAAGAGACACAGGGAAGGGTGGAGCCAGGCATTGCCATGGCAACATTCAAACAACTGCTGGAGTCGAGATGACATCTTGCATAGTTAGCCTATCATACCGAATGGATTGGAATGACTCACCCTACCTCAAGCTGTATCATAAGCTAACAAGCCGTTGAGGCAGACAGAAGAGTTCTGTCATCATGAAGAAAAGAAACAGGTTCTGAAGATAGATTTCTCTGAAACAGTCGAAAATAGTCATGAGTTCAAAGATATTCTATCACCAATCTACATGTGATATATCCTCTATGTGAGATACGTATGTCATGTATTTAAAGGGAATACAAAGTTTTGGTATGGGGTCGTGAATTTGGTTCAAATGAAGATATTGGAAGCATATGCGATACTACAATATTCACTGATCGTTGTCGCAGTCGAAATCGACTCTAAAGTTATGAAATTGTAAATAATAAACACTTCATGTTGTATAGCTCCCTCTCAAGGTCAAGATATTAATTAAGCTATAAAACAATGTTTCTTGACTAAAATCGACCGATAAGCCATTCCCGTTCGGAAATTATATACCATAACTACATATTCTGAAATTTTCATGGTCGCATCTATCATTTTACGGCCGTAGGAGCTATTTGAAATTTATCAAAATTTACCGGGAGCACCGGTAAATCTTAATATTCAATTTTTCTAGAAAGCAGAAATGTTTTAAGGGCTAAAATTTCTATTGCTTTTAATACATCCACAGGGGCATCCAAATATATCAAAATTGTAAAGATTCACTATCCACCCATTTTTCAAAATTTCCCAAAACTTTGTAATACCTTTAACTCAATGACTACAGGCCATTCAAAAGTATCGGTACATATACTTTAAAATAATTAAAATCGAACGGCTTTCTTCTTCAGCTCAGCAAATGTGTATGCATGTGTATTGAAATTAGGTTCACACATGCCTAGCCGAGTGGTGAACTATGAAGTACAGTGTGCCATTGCTGTTCGCTTACAGATCAAATGTTGGTATTCCTGCTCTGTTTCTCTGAGATAAAGTCAGTTAGGCAAGCAAAAATGTGTATTCCAGTTCTCTCTGAATTTCAGTTTTCATTGGAAATTCCATTTTGTGTCCATGTAATGTCTATGCTTCCAAAATAAAAGATATTTTACTTCATGACCCTCATTATTGTTTGCAAATGGCTGAAGTCATCATTGGTTACTTCATGAGCTGAATATGACTGTTTCAGACATGACTAGGTTGGAGAGATTGATTTAACTACTGGGGTTAAAGGGAAATCCAATCTTGATAGCAAACTACTGAAGAAGAAAGCAGTCAAAATCAGTGAAGCATACTGGTGAAAGTTTGGATGAAATCAAAAAAAAAAATTAGAAAGTTATGAATATTTGAAAGTTGTTATCACTATATGTATGAGCTCTTCAAATTGGCTAAATCTGTGATGTTTCTGTGACTGATGTAGTGGCTGAAAGCTTTCCCATTTGTTCCAACACACAATTGACTAGAATTTCTTTTTTTCTTCTTCTAAAATGTATGACTAGGGATGGTCTATCTCGTATTTTGAGTAGTGCCCCAAGGTTGAAACGGTGAAAGCGCTTGGGAGAAAGAAAACAAAATGTATTATATTTTTTGTACACGACAAACGACAGGGTAATCTGTCACAACATCAAAATCCACTGACAAAATTGCCAATTTGAGATTGGCATAGGTGTAGTGATCTCATATTGGAAACATTCTTAACTTTCTTATTGTTGGTCCAATTTATTTCAAACTGTATGTGGCCATTCTGTTTATCTTATTTTTCTACTTGCATTCAAATGAACTTATTACAAGGGTTGGATTACCCCTTTAAAGATACTATGTCCATTTTGCAGCCAACATCAAATTCTGTAGAACTTTGCAGGAATTATGAATATGTCATGCATGTCCTATCTGTGAAATTTAAACGTTAGCAGTGTCCTAATATTCAAATTATGCAAGGAAACCTGTTTACTTGCTAGACTTCACTGTCAGACACTATTGAGTGACTGACTGACTTTTTTCTTCTTTGGAAATAACATACATAAAATGAGCTGTAAAGGGTACATGAACATTTGTCTACATCAATAACCCACTGCTTGTAATGGCCAAAATTAAACTGATTGAATCTTTGCGCAACACAAAACGTACGACCATTCGGTACAATGGTCTGAAAATCAGACTATTACTTACTAACTTGGTAGCACTTAAGTCCATTTGACAACTAATACTTGTTCCCACTTAAAGACATTTTCAAGCCCCCTTTTTTTACGGAAGTTCTAAATTAGTATTATCTTTCAAATGCCGTTGGAATTTAACCTTTTCATTTTTTGGCTGCAAATGAGACATAGTACCTTTAATGAGAGTCAGTAAAGGAAGATCAATCTTAGTGCAATATGTGAAATGATTTACTAAAGGTTAGAAAGGGGGATAGGTGATGCATTGTGTGGAATATGGTGGACATACCCTTTGATGATATACAGAGATATTGAATAATATATATTAATTCATAACTTTGCAAATTCTTGAATACTGATGTCAGCTTTAATGGAATAAGATAGCAGAGATAAGAGCTGTGCAGTTCTTTGCCTTTGATGGAATAAAGATAAATATTTTCACTCCAGTAACTCTGGCTCAACTGTAGTATGTACAAGTTCATCTTCTAATCTCTGTGACTTGCTTCTTTTCTCTTTATTTCTCTCTGTCCTTTTCTTTCCTCTCCCATTTCCTCTCATCCTTCTTCTATTTTGACTATTTCTATTTCTCTTTGCTTTGACTCACCTTACTTTACCTCTATGTCCCTCCTTCTTTCTCTCCCTCTATCTAGTCATTCCTTCCTTTCATCTTCTAATCTCTGTGACCTGCTCCTGTTCTCTTTATTTCTCTCTGTCCTTTTCTTTTCTCTCTATTTCCTCTAACTCTTCTTCTATTTTGACTATTTCTATTTGTCTTTGACTCACCTTACTTTATCTCTATCTCCTTCCTTCTTTCTCTCCCTCTATCTATCTATCTATCTATCTAGTCATTCCTCTCTCACTCTATCGCCTCCACCTATCTTTCATCTCACTTCTCTGTTTATCTCAGTCTCTCCCAACAGGGTATTTGCAAGTTAAACAAATTAAAATCATGGTTGTGACATTTAAATTATTTGGCCCAATATAATTGTTTAATTTGTTTTACTTAGGCTTGAAAAAAGTAGACAATGGATTGATTGGATTACAGGTGTATAATACATGTAGTTCCATTGATTTACATAATGTGTACTTGTAAATAATCTACTCAATGATTTGAGGAATTATCTTACAAAACCTGCGGAAAAGGTAAATAAATACCTCATCAACAGAATTTTGATATATATTTTAAGCATATATTTTAAGCATATATATGGGTCTCACGAAGCTAGAACTTTTTGTAACTTTTATTCAATGATGAAATACTTACATAATTTGCTCACTCAGTACATAGTTTTTTTTGTATTTGCGCTACCACTTGGTAATCCACGATTGCATTTATTACAGCGCCATTTTGTATATGTTGCATGAATTTGAAGTTCATTTTCAAATAATGAATAGATAATTAATGTAATGATTAATGTTACCCGAATCAAGCAAACAATGCGATGAAAATAATGAAAGTAAAACTAGTGGGAATGCTATTTGAGTGCCTTATCTGTATGTCTGCATGAGTTGTTAATTTTCATTATTAGTAACAAAGACCTTATACTTTTCGGCGAACGCACTGCTACAAAATATTTGGTATCAGTTTTTGATACGACGGTATAGTTATCTGCAAACATTGAAATATATCCATATATATATATATATATATATATATATATATATATATATATATATATATATAACCCTACATGGTACATACATAAACATGAATGTTTGGACACGACAATACATTTTTCTACAAGACGGGAAACTCCAAAGGAATGTATCATCATTTGTTATATACTGTATATAATACATTTATAATAATACATTTATAGAGCGCAGAAACTGCGCTATATACGTGTGCCATAAAAATATTTTCGCTCCCTTCATCATACTTTTAAAGCCTCTCTACAGTGAAGAAGTGAAACAAAATAAACCAACTATAAGGGGGATTTACCAAATCAACATACTTTCATGTAGTATATACATGTGGTTAGAGCTACAGTGTATACAATGTGTTGTGTAAACTGAAAACATTAAAAGATGACGTAAATACCTGTTATTCAGTAAGTTTTCTAATCATCCTCAGGATGTTGTATTCCTACAAACATTATGTAATAATATACATCAGCAGCAGTAGTAGTAGAAGTAGTAGAAATAGAAGTAGCAGTAGTAGTGGTAGTAGTAGTAGCAGCATGAGTAGTAGTAGTAGTAGTATTTATAGTAGTAGTCAGGCGCGTACACAGGGGGGGGGTTAAACCCCCCCCCCCCCTTTGGTAATTTTTTGCGTGTAAACCCCCCCTAAATTTCCCTAAAACTCCCCCCTTTAGGAGTCAAATTTTCAAATTTCGATACCAAAAAAAAAAAAATGTCCGCTTACCCCCCCCCCCCCCCCCCCCCCCCCCCCCCCCCACTGAGCGACTTTTCGGCCGGCGCGATTTTCAAATTTTCGGGAGCAAAATATTTTGGGCCAGATTTTAACCCCCCCCCCCCCCTTGAAAAAATCCTGCGTACGCCCCTGGTAGTAGTAGTTATAGTAGTAGTAGTAGTAGTAGCAATAGTAGTAGTAGTAATAGAAGTAGCAGTAGCAGTAGAAGTAGAAGTAGCAATAGTAGTAGTAGTAATACATGTAGTAGTAGCAGTAGTAGTAGAAGTAGAAGTAGGCCTAGTAGTAGTAGTACAGTCGGTCCTGCTTTAGTTACCACCTATCTACAAAGACCACATTTTTTGTTTCCCATGAAAATGGTTTCTCACTGAAACATGTACTAAAGGAACCTGTCTACAAAGACCACTTTTTCACTTCCCTTGGATGGTTGCTATAGACAGGTTTGACTGGAGTAGTAGTAGTAATAGTAGTAGTAGTAGTAGTAGTAGTAGTAGTAGTAGTAGTAGTAGTGGTAGTAGTAGTATTACAATCATCAGCAGCAGCAGCTTCATCGTCTCCATCATAATTATCATCACTAGCTATTAACATATTGTATCTTCGTCTGTCGTTCAAAAAGTGTTTGTTATTATAAACGGACTTGTAGATTGCAGCTCTGACCGC